AAAATTTTAAAAATTCTCATTATCCCCCCTATATTTTTAAAACAATTTACTGTTAACCCAACTTTTCAAAACATCTTAATGTGTAAGTATCTCATCTAGTGTATTCAAAAAGATGAATGACTTAATATTTAATAACTATTTAGAACACAATCACATAAATGAGTGTCACTTGTATTGACAAAAACACTTGTTAAATTATTTTGATGATGTAGAGAAAAAATAAATGATTTTTTTTATAAAAAAAAAAAAAAAAATAGGGATACAAATATGATTTTTATCAAAAGCAGTTGATTAACTAATAATTCATTTTTATTATGGTATTATATGAAGCTACTAGTTATTGTCTGTGCTTGAAAGCACAGAGTAATAAAAAATAGTAAATAATAAATATATTTATATTTATATCAAAATCAAATCACAAATATAGATAAAAGATAAAAGAATTTAAGCATCAATTTATAGTGGGGTGAGAGATAGTGGGCGGTAGTAGTGGTGGTAGGAAACGGTGATGGTAGAATTTAAGCATCAATTTATAGTAGAGTGAGAAGTAGTGNCATCAATTTATAGTGGGGTGAGAGATAGTGGGCGGTAGTAGTGGTGGTAGGAAACGGTGATGGTAGAATTTAAGCATCAATTTATAGTAGAGTGAGAAGTAGTGGGCGGTAATAGTGATGGTAGGAAACGGTGATAGTTGTGGTGAGTGGAATTTAACGTGGTGGCGGCGGTGATGGTGATAGTGGTGGTGGTGGTGGCGACAGCGACGGCGATGGTGATGGCGGCAGCGACGGCGATGGTGGTGGTGGTGGTGGCGGCAGCGATGGCGATGTATATGCTGTGGAAATGAACTTCTGCACCCATTTATGGCCAAACCAAGAAAGTTGTATCATCCACGGAACACAAACCATGAAACGAAGGATGCAGAGAGACAGAGAAAAGAATTAAGCCAGTCTAACGGCGTATTCATAACTAAGCAACTTTGTTGTACAGTAGTATACCCAAAAAAAAAATGTGGCATCTTCATGCACACTCTTGTATTCCTATGCGCAACTATCTTTTTTTTTTTTTTTTTGTTCATATATTGTTATTCATTTCCTTTGTTTTTCTATCAGTATTCTGTCAGTCCCTAACTTCGAGACCATACAAGACACCAGCATACTTATCCAGTGAATGTGATTCAGTGAAGTAGGAATCTTTCAACTTCTTGAATATACCAGCTGTGACCAAACTATCCGAACCCGCTTGATGACTAACTCCAACCCTCTCAATTCCCAACGACTCCGCGAGCTTGCTCAATCCACCATGAAGGTCATTACGGTACCTTATGATATGCTTGATGTCATAAATGACTGGAAAATATGTATTAATCAATTCAAAGAACTCTGTTTGGGTATCAGGCATATTCTTCCCAGACAAGAGCTTAACCAAGAACCCAAAATCATTGGCAGAATGGAAACCCACCCAAGTCATTTTATTATTCAAAACAGCCCCTGACGTTGTCAAGAGCTGCGAGAATTGACTAACATGAATACCCTTTTCATTATTCGTCTTGAAATCAATCCCACTACCACGCAAGAGCTCAATAGAGTCAGAGAAATAGACATCCTCAGCAGGGTTGAATTCCCGGAAATTGAATTGCCAAATGCAGTATTTATTGTCGATTCCACGGGGGGGTAAATTGCCCTGCTCGTCAAAAAATGTAAACCCAATCTGAATCAATTTCAAGATATCTATATTGACCTTCATGTGTTGGTACTTAAAAGTCAAATCATTGCAGCCAACTGGTTCAAGAACTATGCCTGGAAACTCGGTGTCCATTGCAATGTATGGAAAGCGGTCGACTATGTCACCAATAGTAGTCAACTCTTTTTCAAGATTGTCACTCCACACGTCTCGAATTTCAATCAAATCGCTTTTAGCAAAAAGCGACATTTCTTAACGGTAAAAAAATCGATCAAAGAGCAATATCTTCCCAGAATTTGAATCGTCGAAACCTTAACGGGTCTTCACCGAAACCTTCTTGATTCTAACCAGAACTGCAAGAAAAAACAACAGAGTATAGGTACAATCGAATCAAGAAGAAAACCAATTTCAAGTAAAACCCAGTAAAGTAATCAAGAGTAATAGAAAAACAAAATTCATACAGAAATGGATCAACTGTCATCGAAGTCTACCTGTTGTAAGCAAAGATTCGAAGTTTATAGATATATGATTGAATCAATCGAATATGAAGACACAAAGAAAAATTTAAGTGAGAGACAAAGTTTGGGCTTCGACACAAAGGTAATGAAGGTGGCAAAGAGACAAGAAAGAATTTATGGCAAAGTTGGGGCATTTAAAGGCTTTGGAGTGAACAGATAGAGAGGGGTGATGACGAGAGGGAAGATTCAAATAATTATGGGTAAATTACATATAGACCCCTTAAAGTTTGGCACTGAATTAGACACATCGCCTCAGGTATGAAAAATTGCACTAAAACCCCTTAGCTACAACAATCACCAAACTAAGATAATATTGAATGAAACACATCATGTCATCACTACGTGCTGTCATCATATGAAAACTTGGAGGCTTCGATGTAATATTGTTAGTTGTAGGTCTCATTGTATTATATTTTTTAAATAACTCTTGTATGTTCTCGTGGTAAAATGTTGTTCAACAAATGTCCGACTTACTTTGCATACAATCGATTTGTTTAACTACGTTTATCCGATGTATTTTATCAATTGGGTCTGATAGATCACACATATTAATAATCTAGATCGAGTAAGACTAAACCAATATCCACTAACTTCATATCTTCGTATCGATTTCTTTTTTGATTCTTTAAAAGTCGGTACATTAAATTAGACATAATTGTGAAAAAATTTAGAGTCATTTAATTCAAAATCTCTTATCTTTATTGCACCTTGATTCATGTATATTTTTTTTTAGAAAGTGATTTTATTTTTAAATTATATTTATACATTAAATATTTATTACTACTAGTTTTATAAAAGAACTTCANTTTTTTTTAGAAAGTGATTTTATTTTTAAATTATATTTATACATTAAATATTTATTACTACTAGTTTTATAAAAGAACTTCAATATTCTGTTTATTTTAAAATATATCACTTGTTTGAATTTCAAAATTTGTTAATATCCGAACTCCATAATAGTATAACAAAAACAGTGTAACAATACCCTGTAATAAAGACAGTGTAGCAATACACTGTAATAAAAACAAAGTTCAATGATTTTGTGCATGTGGTAACAAATTTAAAACGGAGATAGACTGTTTTAAATAAAATTATATAAAAATATATGTTTGACAAAATATAATAGTACAATATTTTGTGTAAATATTTTATTACACTGTTATTGTTACACTGTTATGGAGTTTGAATATTAATATAATTTGAAAATAAAACCACTTTCTAAAAAAAAAAATATGCATGAATCAAGATACATTAAATATAATTTGAAAATAAAATCTCTTTTCAAAAAAAACTACGCATGAATCAAGGGAGGACATACAAATATGGATTATTAAAATTCTTCTATAAAACTAAGAGATATTTAATGCACCACTTTCTAAAAAAATTAAACATTGATCAAGGGGGGACAAAAAAGACACCAAAAAATCTGAAAATTTCAAATAATGTACTTGGACACAAATAAGTCTTAAAATTAAGGACTTTTTTACTATACATTTTTTTTGTGTATTTTTTTACAATTAACTCTAGTTTGATGTACCTCATTCTAATTTCTCCCTCTTTTTTTATTTTTTATTTGAGTGATCGGATAAGGTATATATTGTGTAATAGATCAATTAGTGATAAATCAAAATAAAGACAGAAATTCCTTTCCCACAAAAAAACGTAAAGACAGAAATTTCCAAAATTGCTATTTATATCATATTTTGAAAACTGTGGCCTAACTGCTTTCATAGCTCAGTTGGTTAGAGCACCCGTTTAGTAAGCGGGAGGTCTTGAGTTCGACTCTCAATGAAAGCATTATTGTAAAATTGTTTTTATCAATACTATTTAGCGTTTTTCACCAATGAGAACAAGACACATATATATTTTTATTTTTGCAGATTTTCTTGAGACTATAATTATTTTTCTTTTACTTTTAACCAAAAAAAAAAGCTATTTAGGAATATTGGGTTGGGCCTAATTCATGTTAAGCCCAAGGGGAGAACCCATCAAGGCCCAAAGACTCAGCTCTCAACATGGGCACTGAGAAACTAGGGTTAAGTCTTCTTCACACATGCCGCTTATAATGCCACAAGCGTTCTGCGGCTGCTTCTTCCTCTTCTTCTTCTTCTTCTTCTTCTTCATCTTTCTCCATTTGTGTAGCACACTGAGAGACCCCGGTTCGTGCTCCCACTGCCCTCTTCACAGGTACCTATCTCTCTCTTTCTGTCTAGAAGTCAATTTCTCTCTCTTAAAAGCTGTGATTTTCTATAAGGATTATGTTATGGTCCTTTTATACATGTTTGATCCAGTGGACTATATCTAGGAAATTTCTTTATCGACCCAGGAAGGCATATAATATACTCTTTCTCTCTCTCTCTCTCTCTCACACACACACACACATGGGTTCAAGGATATGAATATCTCACCTCCCCTTCTTTGGTGGCAATGTCCAGTATTGCCTCTTGCGGAGCAGCCGCCCGTAGGTAAAGTATACATTGGTGTAATTGTGGGATATTATAGCTGAGAAGACGATGATAGGGATTACTATTGACAATTATCTCGCCTGCCAGTCTTTTTGATATTGTTATCTATCACAATCGAATCCTTCAATTGTTGTGTTCTGACTTAGGGGGTGTTAGAAGGGATTCTTTTTGTAGGAATATTTGTAAAACCTTGAAATTGGGGTAGAGAATGATGTAGAACGGAAGATCATTGCCATGGGGGTGAAATAAGATATGGGGGGGGTTCATTGGCCGATGGCCTTAAACATATTGAGGGATTGACTTCTAACACGGTAGGTGAAGCAAGTAGAGCTTTTGTTGCTAAAAAAAATAGAGCATTGGACCTGCAAACAAACAAAGCAAGAAACAAGAGATAGAAATCACCATAGGTATTGTAGTATTGTATCTTCACCATTGGTTTTGATGTTGGGTCAATTGCCAGATTGATGATAACTTGTCTGAAGTTCTATTTCTTATCAATTATGATATGCTTTTGTGATAAGTTGCACAATGATGTTATCTTGCTGGATAATATTTAATGTTGCACCTGACTTTTCAATCTGTCGTGTGCTCGGTTAAGCTGCCCTAAAGTTTTATTTGAATTGTGTTTTGCCTTTGGTGGCAGGTTTGAGACACAGTTTGAAGAAACCATAAAAGATGTCTGGGTAAGTAAATATAACTGTTTTATGAGTAATGACTTGACTTAGTTTTTTGATTCCTATATTTATATCCTGGCGCCCTGTGTAAAGGCAGATTTTTCTTGTCCCTCCCCTCTAGCTCATTGAAGGGTTGACATCATTTGATTGAAAAGCTGAAAATCAACTGGTTTTATTGGAAATATTTGTCAATGACTCAATATCATTCCCTTGGTTATGACAAGCACAGTTAAGAAATCATTTTGGTTTGGAGTTGCATTCAGACTAAATCATTTGAGCTGTGAGGTTATTTTACGTGTTTTTTTACATGATTATACTAGTTGNGGGGGTGTTAGAAGGGATTCTTTTTGTAGGAATATTTGTAAAACCTTGAAATTGGGGTAGAGAATGATGTAGAACGGAAGATCATTGCCATGGGGGTGAAATAAGATATGGGGGGGGTTCATTGGCCGATGGCCTTAAACATATTGAGGGATTGACTTCTAACACGGTAGGTGAAGCAAGTAGAGCTTTTGTTGCTAAAAAAAATAGAGCATTGGACCTGCAAACAAACAAAGCAAGAAACAAGAGATAGAAATCACCATAGGTATTGTAGTATTGTATCTTCACCATTGGTTTTGATGTTGGGTCAATTGCCAGATTGATGATAACTTGTCTGAAGTTCTATTTCTTATCAATTATGATATGTTTTTGTGATAAGTTGCACAATGATGTTATCTTGCTGGATAATATTTAATGTTGCACCTGACTTTTCAATCTGTCGTGTGCTCGGTTAAGCTGCCCTAAAGTTTTATTTGAATTGTGTTTTGCCTTTGGTGGCAGGTTTGAGACACAGTTTGAAGAAACCATAAAAGATGTCTGGGTAAGTAAATATAACTGTTTTATGAGTAATGACTTGACTTAGTTTTTTGATTCCTATATTTATATCCTGGCGCCCTGTGTAAAGGCAGATTTTTCTTGTCCCTCCCCTCTAGCTCATTGAAGGGTTGACATCATTTGATTGAAAAGCTGAAAATCAACTGGTTATTTATTGGAAATATTTGTCAATGACTCAATATCATTCCCTTGGTTATGACAAGCACAGTTAAGAAATCATTTTGGTTTGGAGTTGCATTCAGACTAATTCATTTGAGCTGTGAGGTTATTTTACGTGTTTTTTTACATGATTATACTAGTAGCAAGGTTATAAAACACTAACTTGCATCCTCCCCTCCCCCCAAAAAAAGAATATCATAAAGATAATTATCGGCCTCTCTCTTGACTTCTTAAATTCTCTTTTTTTTTTTTTTGTTTCAAATTTGTTGAATTTGCAGTGAAGAGGGTGTTGTCACTGAGGCACCTGCTCCAGCTCCAGCTCCAGCTCCAGCTCTTGGAGAGCCCATGGACATCATGACAGCATTGCAACTTGTGCTGAGAAAATCACTGGCTCATGGTGGTCTAGCTCGAGGCCTTCATGAAGGTGCAAAGGTGATTGAGAAACATGCTGGCCAGCTTTGTGTATTGGCAGAGGACTGCAACCAGCCAGACTATGTCAAATTGGTCAAAGCACTGTGTGCTGACCACAATGTAAACTTGATAACCGTCCCCAATGCTAAGACTCTTGGCGAATGGGCTGGTGTAAGTGAAAACCTTTTGCTGATTTGCTAGTTTTTTTTACCCTTTTCCCCTTGTTACTGACATTATTCTGTTACCTCCCTCCCTGTCTCTCTTCCTTCTAAGCTTGATGGTAGATGGTTTCCTATATGTCTCTAGTCTCAGAATATTTGTTTGTGTGGCAAGCTTATGGGATGCCTTAAATCAGATAAAATAACCAAATGGGAAAGATATCTTATTTTTTGTACCATTCCTACTTTAATTAGATAATTTAGAGTGAATCTTGATGCAAATTCCCCTCCAGGGCCCCTGCCCTTCCCCTCCAAATAATGCACCTGATTATGTTACTCTGCCATCCAATTATTTTGTTTTTTGAAATGAAAATTAGCAGCTATGCTTTGGTATTAACTTTGGTTTCTTCCATAGTTGTGCAAGATTGATTCAGAGGGAAAAGCAAGGAAGGTTGTGGGTTGCTCCTGTGTTGTTGTAAAGGTAGAATGCTAAAGCAACAAATTGCATATTATGAGTGTATTGGGGTACCTTTCCATAGGAATTTAATCCTTTGTTTGCCTCGCAGGATTATGGGGAGGAAACTGAAGGTCTCCACATTGTTCAGGAGTACGTCAAGTCTCACTGAGTGGCTACCATTTCAATTAGCATGTTTAGACTTTATAGAAACCTTTCTTTTTGTTTTGTTTGGGAGGGACTCGGTTTAGGAGATTTTCATTTGTTCAGGAACAAATTTTGATCATTGAGATTTTCAGGTACTTGCTTTTTATGTATACTACTGAAAGTTCCTTGTTGTTTGCATCCTGAATTTGGTTAATCTCCTTGTGAGTAAAAGAAGTGGTACCCGATATTTAATTTTACGAGATTGCTGGAGGTGTAAAATGATGGTAAGCCTGCCATGATGCATGTATTCAGATACTAGAATGTTTAAAAACTCTTGGAAGCTTTGCTTACTCGGAAGAGAGCAGTTGCAGCTACATTCACCAACGGCCAGCTTAAAAAATGGCTGAAGCCTTGCTCATTTTTGGCTGTTAAAATTAGGTCTGCTTGTCTATGACTTGATCTTGGTACTGGTTTTCACTGCTTGCAGTAGGTAGGTGATTCCAAAACCAATGCTCGCAGTAGGTAAGTGATTCCAATTTCTCCCTCCCTTCTCCACCCTTCACCACGCTGGTGGCACGCGTGAACGTTTATAGTTTCTTCTCATTATTTGGGAAAATTTTCCTGTTTGATGCTAACAAAGGGGAAACATATCCAGCTTACCATAACTGCTAGCGTAAACATTTATCCTTTCATACTTGAGAAGTAAAAAGAGGGGGAATAGGCAAAAGATCAGCTCACTAACCTCCATGTTGCCTGAAAATCGGGGATGCATGTGAATGGCCATGCGGCCATCTCTGACTTATATTTTTTTTAATATATTTTTTCTTCAATTTTTTTTGGTAGATCATTTACAATTAATGAGTGAGAAATTCACTTGTGTACAATGAGTCTCATGAATAACCTGTCAAAGAGCGACCTCAAACACCAGCATTTCCAGCTCAGGATGGACATGCTCCCTTACTCGCAAACTAGCTGAGGAAACTAGAGGTCGTCCTCAAGAAAGAAAGATCTCATACCAAGCTCTATTATAGCCCTGGGAGACCTTAGTATATCCTTGATGCATCCGGGCCTCAAAGACACCTTAGCATCTTTTAGAATGTCATGTTATATCATAGAGAATGTAATCTCTAATGACTCTATATTTCCTCAAAAGGATCCTAAGAAACTTGGGAATTACATGACGATGACATAAGAACCACCCACCCTTTCCCAATATAAAAGGATATCGAAGGCATTTTGTAATCTATTTTTTTTCCTAAGAATTATACAATCCAAGGAATAAGAGACTATTAGAGTGAAATAGTCAAAACTCTTAAGTTGGTAAACCGCTATAACCTTGTATTCTTGTTTCTCTCCCTGCGCTGTCCTCCCTCCAGGATTTATTGTAACGTTAAACAGAGCTGCCAAACTCCACCTCTGGTTATTATCTTCCCTATCTTNCTCTAATGACTCTATATTTCCTCAAAAGGATCCTAAGAAACTTGGGAATTACATGATGATGACATAAGAACCACCCACCCTTTCCCAATATAAAAGGATATCGAAGGCACTTTGTAATCTATTTTTTTCCCTAAGAATTATACAATCCAAGGAATAAGAGATTCTGTTAGAGTGAAATAGTCAAACTCTTAAGTTGGTAAACCGCTATAACCCTTGTATTCTTATTTCTCTCCCTGCGCTGTCCTCCTTCCAGGATTTATTGTAACGTTAAACAGAGCTGCCAAACTCCACCTCTGGTTATTATCTTCCCTATCTTTCGCCTACAAACCATTATCCACAAGTCCTAAGCTCTTCAGCTTAAGCACTCTCCTCACACCTCAAGTTCCAGCATCATCAATGTTACCGGGGATCTTGCTCCAGCCATCTCCTACTCTTCATATGTTGCAATAGAATGATTCTTCCACTTTTATATTGTACCGCCTTGATTTGCAAACAAATCTGGCACACAGGCTTTAACGATGTAGCAAATGAAACCTCAATTTGAAGTCGCAAACAATTTTTATNTTATATTGTACCGCCTTGATTTGCAAACAAATCTGGCACACAGGCTTTAACGATGTAGCAAATGAAACCTTAATTTGAAGTCGCAAACAATTTTTTTTTTTTTATTTTAAAGGAGAGGAGGGACCAATAGGATAGTAACCGTGCACGTGACCACGAGAGTCCTGTCCTGTTTGAGTTATAGTGGGTCCTTGACTGTGGAATTTATTTTCGAGATACCCACCAAGCAATGATTCGGAATAAAAGCCAGATAGAAAAAACTACGGGGTTGCTTGGTGTGATTCCCAAAAACTGTTTTCTGTTCTCGAACTTTAAAAAAATTTCAGAAGTTGTTTGATTTGTGATTTTATTCTCCAATTTTTGAAAAAAATGGGGGATTGAAACATAAAATTAGAAAACAAGTTGGACTTGTTTTCAAGGTTCTTTTTGCAAAAACTAAAAAACACAGGGATTTTGTTTTCAAGTTTAATGAGGTTTCCTTCGAGTTTCCTTAGAAGTAAAACAAGTCATAGGATAAAAAAAAACAAATTTTCTTTTGTCTTTTCTCCCAGACTTTTGTCACTCTCTCCGTCTTTCTCTCTCTCTCTCCACAGACTCTCAGACGGACTGTGTCTTCTTCGGTGACTGTCTTCTCCGGCGGTTGTGTCTTCTTCGACAAAACACACACACACACACTGGAGCTGTNCGGGGTTGCTTGGTGTGATTCCCAAAAACTGTTTTCTGTTCTCGAACTTTAAAAAATTTTCAGAAGTTGTTTGATTTGTGATTTTATTCTCCAATTTTTGAAAAAAATGGGGGATTAAAACATAAAATTAGAAAACAAGTTGGGCTTGTTTTCAAGGTTCTTTTTGCAAAAACTAAAAAACACAGGGAGCTTGTTTTCAAGTTTAATGAGGTTTCCTTCGAGTTTCCTTATAAGTAAAACAAGTCATAGGATAAAAAAAACAAATTTTCTTTTGTCTTTTCTCCCTGACTTTTGTCACTCTCTCCATCTTTCTCTCTCTCTCTCTCCACAGACTCTCAGACGGACTGTGTCTTCTTCGGTGACTGTCTTCTCCGGCGATTGTGTCTTCTTCGACAAAACACACACACACACACTGGAGCTGTCCAACGATTAGATCTACTGCGAGCTCTTCGACGATTGGTTCAGATCTAGTTTAATAGGCGAAAACACAGATCTGAATTTTTTTTTATCTAATCTGATTTTTTTGGTTTAGATCCGGTTATATATATATATATATATATATTGTAAAGAATCCGAATATTGACACAGATTTGATGTTTTTTATCAAACACAGATTGATTTTTTTTTTTTTAGTTTTTGATATGATCTGATTTTTTTCAGAATATTGACACACAGATCTGATNATATATATATATATATTGTAAAGAATCCGAATATTGACACAGATTTGATGTTTTTTTATCAAACACAGATTGATTTTTTTTTTTTTAGTTTTTGATATGATCTGATTTTTTTCAGAATATTGACACACAGATCTGATTTTTTTTTTTGGATATGATCTGATTTTTTTGGTTCAGATCTCAAGTTATATATAAACCAAGGGGCTTTAGATCTCATATTTTTTCGTTCATTGATATTGATTATGTTATTGGTGTGGCTATTGATATGATATTTTTTGGGTAAAAAACAATTTATTGTTATTTGGTTGATTGATTTTATATATAATTTGATATTGAATCTGTTATAAATTGAAGACAGTTTAATCAGTTCGGTTTATTTTAAAATTTAGTTTATTAAATTTTTTTATGAAACTGTCTATTTAAAAATAATTTTTACGTATTTTTTTTTATTATTAATTTTTGAATTATTGTTCAAATATATATTTAAACTGTCCAAATAAGTTTTACTGTTTTCTATTCTGTAAAACTGTTTTTGAAATCATATAACCAAACAAGTTTTTCGTCACAGAAAAAATCAAAAATAATTTTCTAAAATTCTTCTCAAAAATTATTTTCAAATATTATTTTTTAAAATATAAACCAAATAGGACCTACAAATCTCAATCAAAATATCAAAATCAAGCAATTCATTTCCCAAAATAATAATTTGACGAATTCCCATTAGGCAACTGGCCATACACATACAAATTGATCAACTGTGCGTGAGAGATGGAGAGAGAGAGAGATTAACCAGGACACTTTCAGAAGCAGTAGAAACAGAGGATGAAGTGTAACTTAGGGTTTCTCTCTACGCAACCCGAGTCCGACTCGAAATCATATATTTCGACCCGACGACCACGAAGAAGAAAAGGGTCTTTCGAGAAATTTGTTGCTATTTCGAACGGAGGATCGGATTAATAATTGGAGCAAGAATGTGTGATTCGGGTTTAGTTTGATGGTGAGAGAGAAATTATTATTAGCTGATAATCCCCCGTATGTTAATAATAGTTGATAATCTCACGTATTATTAGTTAATTATAACATTCTTTCGACCTAGAGATTTAACCATGTGAATAGTTGTGGTTGAATTTTTTCAAGTCAAGAAAATATTACTTGAACTTAAAAAATTAAATTGATTTGTTGACTTCATTAATCATAATCATTAAATAATTATTGAATTTTAATAAATATTCAAATATACAATAAAATCAATGATAGTGATTATTTAAGTCAAAATTATAAATCTATATAACATTGTTCTTCTACATGTAAGAGAAAGGATGGTTGGATCTCTTTTGCTCCATTTGGTATAGTGAAAAAATTGAAGAATGTAAAGTTTGAAAGATAGATAAAACATCATATTTGGTAAAAAAAAAGAAAATAGGATATATGAAAAAATTGATAGATGAATTTTCCTTCTAACTCATCAAAATCAATTCTTCCAAAATTAGAAGAAAAGTAGATGAAAAGTTAATTATTTATGTTAAAAATATATCTTATTTGCTTATATATCATTTGATATATACATACTAGCGATATCATGCGACTAAAGTCATTGTACACTGAATTATAACACTGTGCATGCATTGGAATGTGTGTATTAGAGTGTGTATGTATATGCAGCTGTGTGTTATGGAGTGTGTGTGTGTGTGTTGGATTTTTAAAATTTAAGGGGAAAAAGTGTGTTGGGTGTGTGAAATTTGGGGGAAAATATATCCCCCATAAGTTCAAACACTTATTTGATTTATTATATATATATATATATATATATAAATACAATGATAAAATATGTATTTATATTTTTTTAAAAAAATTAAAAAATTAAAATTAAAAAATATTTTTTTCATCTTACCAAATACAAAAAAAAAAATTAATCATTTTTATTTTTCATCTATCCAACAAAACACAAAGGAAAAAAAAA